TCATGGTCACCCTGTCGTCCCCCAGCACTCCCAGTCCCTCTCCACAGAGCTGCTCTCCAGCAGGGCCACCCCAAGCCTGTGCTGGTGCCTGGGGTTGTTCCTCCCCAGGTGCAGGACCCTGCCCTTGCCCTTGAGCTCAGTGTGGCTCCGGTCAGGGCAGTTCAGTCAAAGCAGCAAGAGCTGCTGGAGACAAACCAGCCCGCTGCGTGGCCAAGCCTGGCACGAGAACACTACTACAGAGCAATACCTGGTGTGTGCTTGGTCCCTGAGGAGGGCAAACAGCAGCTACGCTTCCTACAGAGGCATTTTATGTATATACACAGATTAAGGGAGCAGAAGAAAGCCTCAGCAGCGCATTCGGGGAAAAGGCTTTCAGAGCCAGGCTGGGAGAGGAGGCTGCCAGGTCCCTCCGGGCTCGCAGGTCCGCTCAACTCGCAAGCGATAACGTTACGCTCAGCCTGGAAATCCGAGCTCAGATCCGGCCAAGAAACAACCAAACGCCAAGGTATTCCCCGAGGGCGCCTGCCTGAGCCCGGAACCAGAGCTCTTGTGCCTCCCTCACCGCCTCCGAAGGGCGAGGCCGTTTGTTTTCTCGTGATCCTGGCACTCGATGCCATTTCCTCCGAAGAAATTTTAACCTCCCCCTCCGGCAAGGCCGAGCCCACCAGTCCTCACCCGCGAGCTCCCCGAGCCCCATGCTGAGCCCGCACCAAACGTGCCGCCACCCCACTGAAGCAGCTCTGCAAGCACAGGACCAATTTTTCCAAGCAAACGCTGCCAAAGCCTCAGCCCTTCTGCAAGCACGGCCACGCTGCGGGCCCCAGACCGTGGCAGAGCGCCGGACGGTGACAAGCGGCTCCGCTGTCGCCACAAGTCCCCAGGCAGGGCTCAGCGTGCGCTCAATGCCCTGAGCTTGCAGCAGACAATCTGCCTGCGCCGGCAGCTTCTCAAGCCTTTCGTCACCACCTTCCCCCCTACACTGGAAAATGATCTTCCAGGCGTCACGCACGGAATCCAGGCTGGAGCCCGCTCCGGGGTGTCACTGAGCACGCACTCTCCGCCGAGCAAAGGCGGTCCAGTCACCAAGCCACTTACGTCACCGGTGCCAATCTCAGCACCACAATTGGCTCTTGTCTAATTGCAGATGAGAACCTGGTTTCCCCCACCCCCTCCTTTGGAAGCGTTGTCCCTGGATCGGTGCCTCAGCAGCACATTTCAGTCTAACAGCAGCGAGTGGGCTGCGAGGAACACGCTCTCCTCCGGGGGATGCGTTATTCTTCAAACCTTTGGTTTGAGCCAGCGGATTCAGCGCGCAGCGCCAGCAGCACGGCTCTGAGGTGGCCTGGGACTCTGGGAGCCGCGCTGGAAGCTGCTTATGGGATTTTTCAGAATCACAGAATCACAGAATAGTAGGGGTTGGAAGGGACCTCTGTGGGTCATCCAGTCCAACCCCCCTGCCGAAGCAGGGTCACCTACAGCAGGCTGCACAGGACTGCCTGAAACGCGAGGCGTAACATCCGCAGCTCTATGAGGCTGCCGCTCGACTCGGACAAGGAGCTGCAAAACCCATGCCACAGAAACCGCCTCAGCAGTCGGCATATTTTTGATTGCTGAAGTTTCACATGGATTTTCAAATTCTAAACGGGGCTTCTTCAAGCAGCTCCGCACCTGAGCGTAAATAGGAGCACAACTTCCAGGCCTACCTCTGCGAACCCTTGATCCGGATGGAAGGCATTTTGTCTGAAGGAGAAAGCGACATATTTAGTACGGGAGCCAGCACAGCAGAACTGTAATTACCGATCCCAGAGCAGCAGAGCAAGATGACAGCAGTCTCACCCACCACTTCAGAGCTCCTGCATCAGAGACTCTATCACCTCCCCCTGGTATTTTGTCTCCCAAGTTACCTAGAGTCAGTGTAAATACAGTAACCAGGCTGCCACTCTGTGCTCTTATGCCCTACCTTCTCACTGACATCTCCAACCCATTAAAAAATACTTCAAAGCCAGGGTACTAGCCGCCTGTGGTCTTTGTTTTACCCTTAGCCCCTTACAAGTCAACGTCAGTACTGGCTGTGCTGCAGATGATGTTGATATTAAAGGCTGCCTCAATCTCCTCTGGTTTTAGCCCCACTTTATAAAAGGAAAAATTCTTTGAATTTTGTCTTCATCAATAAGCAGAACCCCCAGATCACCCAGTGCTGGGTGAAAGCCTAGGACATCACCCTGCTTACGCGTCCATCAGCACTAGAGGAGCTAGAAGGACGGCTCAGAGCTACTGAGGGATCGCGAGCACCTCGAACGGGCTGGAGTTAAGGCAGTTACCTCGGTCTTCTGGCACCGTTTCCTTGCTCCTGAGACGGCGTGCAGCAGCTGTTGAACATACGACAACATTTCTGCGCAGGTGGGATGTCAAAGAGCCACAGCTCCACAAGAGGAGGTGAGCTGTTCCCCTCCGACTGCAGCACAGGGGTAACTCCCCGCCTGCGCTGGGGAACCGCCCGCAGCGCCCGAGCCCGCTCTCGCCCGGCAGAGCATCCCCGCTGCACGGCTCACTTGCCCACAAGGACAACTAGCAAGCGTGCTTTGAGGGAACGGCCCCGCAGTCTGCTCTTTAGCAGAGCTGGAGGCTGGCTTTAGGTCTCTGCAGAAACAAGACGCCGTCAGGAATTTTGCGGCGCGCAGCCCAGACCCTGCATTCGAAAGCCCCGACGGGCCGGCAGCACCGCTGCGGTTCAGGGAAGGCGCAGCCGCCGGGGAGGCCGCAGCACCAGCGGCTGCCTCCACCACGCACCCAGCCGGGCTCAGCCACGGCTGTATGTCACTGTCATGGGACGCTCAGGAGCCTTTGACTCCAGACCTATTCTTAGAACCAGTTTCACCATCTGTCTTTCCCGTCACCCCCTCCCCATTCATCACCGAGACGGGGAGCGCCTTTCAGCACAGAGCCTCCACCATCAGCCCTTCCTCATTAAAAATGACCAAATCCTGCCATTATGGTCTGTACTTCCAGGTCAATTAGGAAAAATGGTCGTTCTGGAACAAACTAATGCACTGACCAAGCTGTTAACATTTTCCAGTGTTACAGCTTCGGTATCTTACAACGTGCTCAGTGTTTGCTGCTGTAAGTGTGACAGTGGCATGCTCCACACGCACAAGTTTGTCTGGTGTTTGAAGGGCCGGCCCAGCCAGCCACGGCGGAACCAGCCACGTACTGGGTATTGCCTGCAATTCTTCCTTCTCCTGCGCCGCACTCGCTACATCACTTCTGCTCCACCCGTCTCAAAAACCGCTAATTAGCAACAGCCTCCAGAGAAGGATACCATCCACGTGCAAGATCTGGACTCCCCACAGGCGAGCGTTGGCCAGGATACTGCTGCCACTGCAGGCGTCCTGTACGAACAGAGAGGCTTGGCAAGGTACAGCTCGAAGAGACGGCTGCGCCAGCACAGGCAGCTCTGAGTCGAGTTTAGACATCGCGTCGCTGTTATTAACATCAGGGCACAGCAGAAAAGGTTTGAACTCATGCTTTATCCACCCCAAATTAACAGCAGCATCTAGGTCAAATTTTTAATCCCCGCTATAGCATGAGCTTCTAAGTGGGCACCACGATTCTTTTGGCCACTTGTGATATCAGTGAAAGGACTCCAGGGGAGCCTTTTGCCCCAGCTATGTGGCTTTTGTTCTTTCTAGGCTGAAAATTCATCTAACAAGGGGTCTTCTGCTAATAATTTTCTTGTGTTGAACACCCAGATCGCTGGGACAGGCCTTAGAAGTGCCAACACGGACAGATGACACGCATCCATGCGGAGCAGTGCCCAGGAGCACTGCACAATGCTCTGCAGAGCCACAAGCAGCCGCTTCATACCTTTACCAGCCCCAGAACCTGCTCCCTTCGGCAGGCAGGGGCTCTGGAGAAGTGGCTGGGACTGGTTTTGCCCTGCCTCGCAGGACTTTGTTC